TCTATGATTCTATGATCAAACTATTCTATGATTCTATGATTCTATGACCTTTGTAGGTCAAATATATATTGCAGTGACACTTTTTGCCCACCCAGTAATAAATATGTAAAATCGTGAGTCAATGATCTTACATGCTAACTGAGTAAGAGCTAATGGGGACTCATCCAACCTTACTGGAGAAGACCTGATTAAGTACTGCAAGTAGCTGTGACTAAATTTGTGTGAAACTTCTTTCCTGACAATTGCTTCCCAGTTAAAAATACCTCAAAACTGTAAGAGTCAATTTTAAGTAATTTCCAGAGGATTATGAACAGAGTAAGATTATGAACAACTTTTCTTAAAATGGGAGCTAAATTGAACGGGTGCTAATTGTCGGCCAAATTCATAGTGTGTTAATTATTAAAGAACAGGTCTGGAATAAAATACTAAATATCAGTTATGGTCAGTAGATAAACACAAATGAGGTGCTATTTCTGACAGTTAAGCTGTTCAGGGAATTATAATCAGTAACAAAGAGGCAGAAAAATGCAAAAAAAGCAACTGTTATGGCCCAGGCTTCAGATCTGTCTGACCAAGCTGTAGCTTGTTCTTTCACCTGGCTCCATGTTGGTGAAGACCTGAATAAGGGAATCCAGGTATCAGGTATCATAAACAGTTTAAGCTCTGAACTGCTGAACCCTTCATTGAAATTGTCCCAGCAGCTTTATTCTGAGCCACCAGCGCAGAGTTGTCAGGCTGATCAATGCACTAAATAAATGACAGGTACCCTGTAGCAAAGTGGTAGCAGAAGGACCCATCAGCAGAATGGGACCGTCACCACCACCAGTCATCCCCCACAATGAAGGTCTTGTGTCATACCCTCTACCAACTGCCTCTGGATACTTGTGGTTGATATGCTGATGGGAAAGCAGCACATGAATATTGTTATTAATTCAGAAGTATTCCTCTATAGCCCTCATGAGTCACTGTCATTTATTTTTTGTTTCTGTGGTTTTAGGCTCTGAAACTTATTGAAGGCTTAACTTTATGATGCAGCATGAATGTACCATGACTCTTGTACTTAATTGCTATGCATTATTATTTTCAGAGACAGCACTGGGTTTCGTTTGCATGGTTCACATGAAGTTGCAAGAATTCAAACAAAAAAATCTGCACAGCATGACATAACAGCTCATCATGGGAGCCACTCTTCACAGTGACATTCTGCAAGCGTCAGCTGAAGCTACAGTTTCAGGTTTGCCTAAGTCCAACAGGGAGGGCTTGGGCAGTACTGTCATATTTTCAGGCTCAGATCTGCT